CCCCATAATCATCAAGAAGCAATCTGCCCATATAGCTGAGCTTGACGTTTGACATTTGGACTTCAAAAAGAATCACAAGGAAGCAAAATATACATTTTACATGTACTATGATGTGAGTCTTGTTTCCTTCCACCTCCACATTTGCTGGGCTAACAGAAATGTAAATACCGGTGCAATACTCATTTGTTAGCTTTGAATTGTTTTATTTCACCTTATTTACCTCCTCCATCAAGAGCCAGGGTCAAAGTCAGAGATTCACATTGTCTTTGACCTTTGGATCCAAAAGACCTCGACCATAAACCCAGTGACCCTGATCTTTGGTCAGTTGACTTATTCCTTATTTCCGTCCAACTTTGCTTCTTAATATCATAACAAAATGTTCATCAGTGAAAAATACAAACTTGACCTTGACCCTTGACTCTGTGTTAAGTTCTGAATAACATTGCTTCATAATGTCATATCAAAATGTTCATCAGGGAAAAGGTACAAAATTTAACCTTCACCTTTAACCCAGTGACCTTGACCTTTGGTCAATTGACTCCTTGTTTAATTCTGAGCAACATTGCTTCAAAGTGTCATAGCGAAATGTTCACCAGTGAAATGATACAAAATTTAACCTTGACCTTTGACCCAATGACATTGACTGATTACTATAGAGCACCCGTATCTCCGATACGGGGCCCTAATAATAATAACAGTAATAACTTCAGATCTCCTAACATTTCATCTCGAGATATTGAACTTTCTGCAAGTAACATATGGGACATACTTTAAGTCGAATAGCAAACTTTTAAGTTTTGGGATTCAATATGGCCACCATGGCCTTTGATTGGCTGAAACAATTACAGTTAGAGTTGTTGTGGGGGTGATAAAAGGGATGTACACTGTGTTTAACAACTGTTTTTTAAGTCTTGGAATTAAAGATAGCTGCGTTGGCCTCCGATTGGTTGATACATAAATAATGGTAAGCTTCGTCATGTTGGGCCGATTTGGATGTATTTTTTGTAATGCTTCATTACTAACAGCTTGGGGTGTGATAACGATCTGTGTTTTTAGGCTCATTTTCATCACAACATATTTTCTATGGTCATGACAGAGCGGGATATTGCTTTGCCATTTGCCTACAGGTCTAGATAACAACGCACAGTTTGCCCCACTTAGAACATACTTAGTTTTTGTATATTTTGCGGGCTTACCAAGTTCCGTCAAAATTAAATGATAGTTTAGAAACCTTGAGTGGCGTCTTAAATATCAGTGAACACTTCATATTTTTTTACCAATTAACAGGCATTATATAAACAAGAGGCCCATGGGCCTTAACGGTCACCTGAGTCTNAAAAATATACACGCACCTATTGTATTAGGAGGACCAATGGCATCCCCAGGTAGTGGGATGCAGAAACCATATTCTCATCCTATGGCAGTTTTTGTTCTAGTTATATTTCACTAACATTCTGTGTATGGTTGAAAATGAGAGGAAGGTCAAAGTCTGAGGTGTTCTATGTGCATAAACTCAAATTTAAACCTCCACTGCTAGGTCCTTCATAAGCATTTCCAGAAGAAATTGCGTTTATAGGGTTATGAACTCAATTTGATCAGCGTCTTTATGAAGTTTCTCCTCCTGCCTTGAATAACGAGAGACAACCGTTAGAAGCAAACATTTTAGTGACGTTAGGCTGTTCCAGGAATCTCGTTTGCATTGAAGACAGACACTTCAATATCGTATATCTATATTAAGATCAACATTATCTTTAAGATTTATAATGGAAATATATGTATTGAACAATATTTCATTGTTCATTGCTGCTCAATCTTAATGTGACTGAAATGTATGACCATCATGGGATGTAAAGCATGTATGGTAACAGTCGATACTAGTGTCCAATGCTGATAATTTTCATTTTCCCATTTTCTCTCTTTTTCATCAAGTTTGTTGACGAGAAAAATGGCGAATGGTACGGATATCTCAATCGAAATGGAGAAATCAGCATGGACTTCAAGGGTGGACCTTGGAAAGGTAACAAGTTCAGAATAAATGTGATGTTCTCATGCAAGAGAACCTAATGTACCAGTGTGTACCTAGTAGTATAATAAATTACAATTGAGCCATTTTCATGAGCTTTCTGTAAGTATCCTGTTACACAATTTGTACAATGTAGCACTTTTACCAGATAATTATTTAACAATCACATTGAAATTAAAAAGTGAAAATTGATTTTCATTTAAAATTCATAGAAGATATTAGACTGTAACAATTCTACATTTGGCGTTTCAGGGTGTTTCCATGTTCCTCGTTATCTGATGATGTGTGAAAAGATGCTGAAGGAACTCGCAAAATAAAGTTTCCATCTACTCAAAATGTGTCAACGCTGCTGAGATAGCTGTTAAATGAGTCAACATTCATGACGATCATCTTTCAAGAATTTGACATTGTTAAGAATTTTTTTATAAGAATTCAAGGATACAATATTAATGAACACTATTGTTTTATATTCATCATTGTTGATACAGTGGATAATTTTGTGCAAAGATATCTTATTGGACCATTCACGATTATATTTGAAGGTTATAGATTTTCATCTCCGTTAACATTTAACTATAGAATAACTTGGTGGCAATCTAACTTTGTTATTCCCCCCACAGCTGGAGGCATATCACATATACTCTACCTACAACTGCCCAATCTTGTATGCAGATAGTGGAGTGTCTCAAACTGAAATTGTTCTCAACAATACAGAGTTATGGCCCTTTGTCACTTTTTGTTAACGAATTTTGCCCAGATATGGGGGACTATGGATTGCTTGTCAACAAGGTATTCTACTACATCATCACATGGAAAGTTAGATTATAGTATCAAGCTTGTATTCATACAATGATAACATACTTTTCAAAATGAAATTCATTTGCATCAGATTTCCTGTTCACCAAAATACAAAATGTGTATATATCTTTGTATCTGAATGTGGACAGCTTTATCCTCAAAAGATTTGCTGATACTGCTTATCATGACATAAATAATAAACATTTGAAATCTTTGTTTTCATGCTTTTGTATAACTGGTAATCTGACATGCAAGGCAACAAAAAACAGATTGCGAACTAGATCATTAGTGTACAACATAATCACATAAATGAAACTCAAAGAAAACAAAACCCCAAAACCCCAACTGTTCCAGCATGTTGGATTAATACTGTGTACCTTTGATAGGAAATGTTACAATAGTGACAACAAATTGTACAAAATAGCAGACTTTATTACAATTTTGCATGATATACATAAAAGAAGTTTTAAACAAAATATTCACCTTCTCTATTGTCTTCTGGAGTTGTATTTAAGAATTCCTTCAGGGACTCAACAACTTTTCATACAGGAGACCGATTGGAACATAATACCTTGGTTCTATTGTCTTGACCAAATAGAGGTCGGGGCAACCAGTCATTCATCCTCGATATCCATGGGTTACGCTCACTTTCGCTCTCTGCACCCCTGGAATATGTCATAGTAAAATCGAAGGCTCAATGTGCAGTACTTTGTGGAAGAGACAAGAAAACTAGTTTGATGCTTTGATGTTCATCAAAATATCACGGTCGTCCAACTGTAAAAATTGACAGGCTTTGAAGTCGGGCATCGCTCTGTTGTAATCTTCAAAAAAAGACAAGTATCAACCTAGTGATTGGATAGTGTTTTTTTTACCCGACACCAATCAAATAGCTAGCCGTGTGCCTTCAATTTTGCTATGACATATCCCAGGGGTGTCGAGAGCGAAAGTGAGCATAACCCCCTGGATATCGAGGATGCCAGTCATTGTACATGTATTAATAATAAACTTGAAAGATTCAGGAACATGCTACACGAAGTCAGTAATGTCTTTGATTACTGTAAAAGTAGAATTTTGGAAGTGTGGAAATGTTTGCATTTTTTTAATGATGAGTAAATTAAGCCTATATGAATTTTACATATTATAATTATCCCACAAAACAGTTGTCAAAACGAAAACGCCCACTTTTTCAGTATCAGAAAGCATCTTTGATTGTGATAAGACTTGGCATAAAACACATACATAAACACCACATAAAGCTCATACCTAGAGCTCAACTATATGGAACTGGTGTATGAAAATAAGTGAGCCGGAAAATGTTACAAAACTTTGTGTTTGTTTCCTTTTTCAAGTTTACAAGTGTTGACAGCTGATTCACAAGGAGGCTCAGGTACTGCAAATTAATTTTAATTCACCAGGACTTATATAAAAGCATTTTCGATACAAATGACTGTCACAAGGTTGATTAATAGTGAAAGGAATAACATTATATTTCTAAGTTTAATTAATTGTATGTGAATATGAAAAATAATTACAAGACGTGTGTATTCATGATCTGCTCTTATCACAAATTCATAAACAAAAAGGCAAACTAAATTACACACAGAACTAGTGTAAGCTGAATATTTCATAAAAAGTGAACAAAATCATCCAACAACCAAAGCAGTGAAAGTGAAAAAGTGATGTTTGAATCAAATATCAGAGTAATACAACTTTTTAAAAAGTTTATAGCCGAAATAATTTAGTTTTATACTATTTATCTAAGCTAAGGGCTATTCTAGATATGAATATATGGGGATACAGAGGGAGGGGGCACTTTTAATCAATTATTTCAGGGTGGTGGAGTCAAAATAATGGTAAACCTTTGCCCCAAGATAAGAATAATGTTGGTTGGTTGGGGAAGGGAGTCACAAATAAGTGTCTCTTCCCATATATTCATTTCTGAAACAGACATAGAATAACACAATATCATTGTTGACAAATCGACACACAATATATAAAACAGATCTGACAACAATCTCCTTTGTGCACGTAAAACAATGATTTTAACCTGTTTTACAACTATACCAACTGTACTACAAACTATTTAACTCTATAAAGTTTCTTATACTGAATACAAATAATCATAAATGGTTATTTTTCTTAGTAATGAATGTTGATGGTCGAGTTCATCTTTGATGTGCTGTCCTAAAATATGTACATTTAATATATTATTTGCAAAGTTCTTGATCATGATATATACTAGACTTATCACATCGGGCCTGTTTCATTACATAAAATACACAATAATTCAAATCACTGTAAATGACCAGATTTCCTTAAACAAAGAGAGAGGAATATTTAATCAAATGTAAAAATAAAGGCTTGGACTCCTGAGAGCATCAACTTTGTCAAATGCTCTTTTTGTAAGACAAGTATTTATGTGTCATGATGTTATCAAGTCGAAAAAAAGGATCATGACAATTTTATTTACATTTAATTACCCTCAAAGTTGGTGCTTTTCTGCAAGCTAGGCTTGTCATTATGACATATATATATATAGCATTAAACTTGTTCTATAAATACCAATTCAACACTTGGTAGAAAATGATCGAGATCTCTCCTTAATCAATAAAACAGATCCTTTCACCTGTACTTGTTTTATATGAATTAATCAACAAAGGTACATATCAGTTTTCCATTGGTTCATGTTATTGTGAAAGCACTATTACACATCATAAGAAAAGTTCACATGATAAATAATTCCAGTGGGGTGTCTTTTCAGTTTGTTTTGTACAAAGATTTCCAATCGGTTCAGCATTAAGAAGCTGGACCTTTCGCTATTTTGGGTACTCTACTTCCAGATGGTTCCATGTTGATGTAGACGAGATAGGCAAAAAAGAAAACACCTACAAAAACCAGAAACTTGACCCATCTAGGTAAAGCGCTATGCTGGACAGTGGTCGATGTCTTGTGTGCGACTGTTGTTTTACTGGTTCTGGTACTGGTAACAGCAGGCCTGAAATACATAAACATATAATCTTTGTGTCTGCTCTGATGTCACCAATTTTCTACAATCTTTCAATTGTTCAAGACTGTGGTTAACCCTTTCACCCCTAGGTAACTTTAGTAGACTCTACCATATATTGATCTGGATGAGTCAATTATGGTCTACAGTGGTGAAAGGGTTAACTACAATACAGGATCATCACGTTATCAAAATATATTACCAGGGTAATTGCTCTGTGAATACTTAATGAAACAACTGATGGAAATGAACACTGCATCCCGTCTGATCCCGATTGATATCAAGACTTTAACGAGTACATCAGAGAATGTACCTGTTACTCATCAAAACAGGTTGTACTGACACTTGCCAGTAGTAGTGTTGGAAGAAATGAAATGTTAAACAATGCAACTCATGTGTTTTAGTCACTAACAGTATTTTGTACTGATTAGGGATGACTTTGACGTATATATATTTAACAAATTTTAAGTTTGCCTGTATTTTTAATTCATTTTACTATAGTTTTAAAGTGTGTTATTGATTGACTACCATTACTTACTCTGGTTTTGGTGCTGACTGGGTTGGGGTTCGGTGAGTGATAGTTGTTTCCTCGCCCATGTAATCTGGTTCACCCATGTAATCTGGTTCACCCATGTAATCTGGTTCAACTTTCCTCGCCCTGGTTGCTCTCTTTACTGGGGTTCTAGGTTTTGGTGGGGGCCTAAAATAATATTACGACACCATAATGCAAAATATCTCGCATCTTAAAATTGCTTTTTTGTATGAAATTCAAGAATATAATTTATTAACCTGGGATACATTAAGAATAACTTATTTATTAGATAATTCATGTCTGTTACATATTATTTTTTGCCCTCTAAATAATTACATGAAAAAATTTGTCATGACTCAGAATACTGGTATACAGCATATGTTACAAATTTCTTAAGTGAAGGACGAAGTAAGCAATGAGCAAATAAGAATTTTACAGGGAAGGGTGATAGTTTCACTTGGCATGCGCTTCAAAGTATACAGTATCAAGTTTACATTTTATAAAAGGGAGAATAATATTTGTGATAGAGGATGTGATTGACAATGTATGGTCACTTACGATCTTTCTTCATCATCAGGAACTTCCTCTGAAAGAAAGCAATATGTATATCTATATTTTAATGAAATAATTTTAACAATTTTCAATGACCTTCTCTTTAAATACAGGTACAAGACTTAAAGCATGTGTGAACACCAAAAAGATATGGAGAATTTACTTAACAAATATACTTAATATAGGAACATTTTTCTGAATTGTACATACCATACTGTGAGGTCTCTATCAATTTTTCTGTTGTGCTTCCTTCTGCTTGTCGCAGCTTCAAGAGCTTCTTTTCGTAAACTTTCCGTGTAGTTGCTATAAAACGAATCAAACTATCATGGTGAAACTTTTAACATACTTAACCTGACAACAGAGTTAATTTTTGGTTCAGACAAAAGAGTTGCTTTGCTAACTTACAATTTACTGATGTTACCAACTTTCATATGTATTTAGTCCATTTATAAGCATAAATCTGACCTCAAATCAATTGCACATGGTTGATCTCATTTTCAATTCTAAATTGGTCACTACTTTGTTGTTTAATTCCAACTTTTTACAACACACTCCTCACCCACCTTCATTATTTACCTACTCACTTACTAGAACACAAGACAGGTCAGCAAGGGCCCAGCTATGTGCCACTTAGTTTTAGTAATAGTGACAATGACCTTGATTTTAGAAACTTTTTAAACCCCTATTGCACATTTACATATGCCACTGTGTATCCAGGGGTTGACACTAACACTAGTTCACTAGTCCAGGACCAGCGAAAAATATGATTATCAAATAAAAATATTTCTATATAAAATTGAGAAAACAGCTTAAAATAAGATATATTGCATGATAATTGTCAAAATTTTCCCTTAAACTTCTCCATATTTTTACGGCAGTAATTATTTAAAACCCCTACAGTCGATTACTATTTATGTTTTCGTGATGTTTCCTTATCAGAAAATCTTGTACTAGTTACATTGACAAAGGACTAGTACATAATGTATTCAACTAGTCCTGTGGACTACCATGTAAAATAAGTTAGTGTCTAACCCTGGTATCACCATGTCTAATTTCAAAACGCTTATGATAGTTTTACAGGTTCTCAGATATAAGCACCATAATCCAACAACCATGGTCTATTTTTACCTTGACCTTAAAAACTTGTTCAAGTACATATCACAGTGAATCACCATGTCCAATTTCAAAAAGGTTTGTCTCCCGAGTGAGATGATCTCCAGAAATAAAATGTGGATGGCCAGACAGAAAGACACTGCAATTACTAAAGGGCACCCACATTTCTGATGCAGGGCCCTAAATATAGACAATTGTATGGTTTTAAAGCCCTGAATCATGTCAAAAGGTTTGATATATTTCTGTATAGTTAATTGCTACATATACAGACTTACTTTACTTAACAATAATGTATCCACTACTACCGATTGTACTCATCAATGCTACTAGTATAAATTCTCTTAATGCTCTGGTGAAAAGACCTTTACACTTGCAGTTATTGATGCATTTCACTTCTTGTGAGATTCAGATAAACCAAATATTCAGTATTGTCATTTCTGTGAATTCATCAAACTTGAAACACATGTGGAATGTGATACTAGAATGTCATGGAGGTCTTATAATCCGACAATGAATTTCCCTCTAGTTAAAAGAATTCAAATTCATCAGCCAGGGGTGCATTTGAAATATTTTTAGGGTAAATAATAGATCAACCTTGCATGTACAATTTTTTATTATAGGAAATGATATTAAGATATAATATCCCATGTAATTTTCGTGATATGTATGCATTTTACCAGTAACAGGACCGGGGGCAGCACCCCTAGATCGTAGCTCTTTCGTCAATTCAGCATCTGTGAGGTCTTTGACTGACATCATGATGGGAGTATCTTGATCCTTACTGTGGTCAAAGTCACCACTTCCTTTATATGCTTCAGTGCTGTTTTGGTAGGTTGGCTGAAATGTGAAAATTAAACTGTTAACTAGTATGTCTATTAATGAATGTGTTACTTTTATAGACTGACATGTATATAATTTCTTTTCTTAAAAGTACATCAACAAGCTTCCAAGGTTGTGCATGTATTTTAATTGAGAAATTTCACTTTCAGTTTCTGTATTGGAATTAACACTGTATTTGGCAGTATTTAAATTCATGCTTATAAGAATTAACTACATTCCTAAATGTCTGGCAATAGTATAAAAAATGTGCATTCATGATTGATGTGGTTGCCTTACACGCGTTAGCTGTAGGGAATTTCCCTTTAGCTCTGCGGTAGAGCATCTGGTTTGAGCCCCAGCACGGCACTATCTTTAACACTATTCCTTGGCCTTCTACAAACTGTTGCCGTTGACCCTCCCCGTTCAAGGCAGGAGAACCCTTGGCTGGAAGTCAAAGAACCTTGGTTGGTGTTTGAAAAAAGGTGGAATTGTGTAAAAGATGTGCATCGATTAGGTTGCACTACAAGCGTCAACTGAAGGGAATTTAGCTCAGTGGTAGTGCAACAGGCTGGAGAGAGCCAAGGGTCGTGGGTTCGAGCCCCAGCGACGGCACTATCTTTATCACCATTCCTTGTCCTACTGACAATAGTGTCTCCTCTTTTATGCTGATAGCATGTAGTCATGTTAAAAAAGTGAGTCTTAATGTGTCTCTATTATTAATATAAATTTCTTGGGGAGGCAGATCTAACCATGTTAGTCAGGAGAACGTATACATTTCCTTTTTTATGCACAATGCTTAACATGCATCGTATTTTTTGTGTGTCCAGCAACTGTGTATTTAGTTCAGGCTGCCACTGGATCTTTAAATGTTATAAATTCTAATATTTGCAGAAATTTTGAGAAGTTCCTATTTATCACTGCAAATGACCATTGCACATCAGACTGAGAAACGATTGGACATTTAAATTGTGTCTCAAAATAATAGCGACATTTTGACAGATAGATGTCTAACTGTCAAACACGTCTAAGACTGGTGTCAGGGCAAGAGGAAACTTGGGCTATCCTCAAAGTTCACCGCTTTCCGTGGTAAACTTTCAAATTTTATCATTTTCTTTCAAAGACGTCATCATCATTTCATCAAGACGTTTCTTTGTCATATCGTGATTTTAATAAATGAATCGATGTTAACTTCATCTTATAAACTTCCTCTGTCGATACCAACGATTACGGAAGTCGGTCTTGTGCTGTATTGCGTTAATTATTATGTAGCGATTTTTTTTATTATATTTTTATTATTTGCTATTTGATAAAACAGGTTAAAAGCAGTGAGCGAGTGTTAGTTATGTTGTAGGTTTTGTATATATTCGATTATATGTGGTGGATGTCCTCAATTCTGCTAGTGTAATGTTACTATCAAATTTATGTCGCACCTTTTTGAAAACTATTTCGCTATCACTTTCACCACTTTGACTTTGTTGATCTTCGTTTTCATACACGTCTGTAGTGTCTTCGTCTTCTGAGTCTTCCTTTAGCACGTGTTCTGTATATAAATCAATGTATGACTGTTTTCTAGCGTCGGATTTTGGCAGTGGTATGTTGTGGCGTATCAATTCCTCTTTTAGTTTAGCTTTCGTCAACAACGATGGATCAGACATACTATTATTAGCACACCACACGCTCACGTGTCCTTAACCTTGTGGGGGAAAAAAATGCGGGAAATATTCTGAACTGTTATGTACCGTGCGATTGGTTACTGGTGGTTTGCTATAATAGAGAAACCAAATTCTGAATCTGAATCTGAATAGGTACGTCGCTGGTAATTAACAGATGGCGTGGAAGGTTTCTATTTGCACCATCCATTTGCGCGAAAGCATCTGATTTAATTTGGAACTTTCTTTTTAAACAAAATCATATTGATGTGAAATACTTGTGATTTATAGGGAAAATGTATTTTGTCAAGTAATCAAAAATATAGTATGAAGTACCGTATCCGTTTTGATTTTAGTGTTCCTTTTCATTTTCGACCAATCAGATCCCCTATTACAAAATTTATGTCAAAGTGAAAGTTGTCAGCCGAGAATGAAAATTTTATCATGGAACATCAATGGCATTCGAGCCAGCAAGATAGATTTGAAGACATTGTTTGATTCTTTAGACGCGGACGTTATTTGTCTTCAGGAGACCAAAGTAACACGTATGTAACAATCCCCAAACATGACAGTTCCCCGTCAACATGTTTCCCCAGGGATTATTTTC